AAACGGCCTCTTCACAGCAAAGTGGCCCAAGTGGCATCACTTTCAGCTCGCTCAGATCAACAATATAACGGAAAATACGTTTTTGTGTCCCTCTTCTGTGAGTCTCTCATATATCGGGAGACTTGGCAGCTCTCCGCATCAAAACTTAAAAAATCAGGAAGAGTTTCTGGAGGCAACGTGTCAGCAAGTTCCTCGAAAAACCCAACGGAGTTGACGAGCTTGTGATAAGTATTGGTGCTCTTAAAATACAATGAGCTTGTCAAGCCGGCTTGCGGAACATTGCGGAATTTTTTTTACATTTTAAATTAATGAGATTGTCAGATTTGCCATTAATGTTTATGGGAAGTTGAGAACTGGCAAGGCCAGAGGCAGTGTAGGACTGATGTATCTGAGCAGATATGACTTGTTGGGCCAACTGAAGTAGTGATATTGAGGAGCAGAAGCTAATAATTAGGAAAGTATTGAAAGTTTGCGTTAAAATAATTCATAAAATTTTCCAGTAAGCAAAAACTTTCTTGACCGAATTGCAATGAATTTTTAGTGACTAAAAATTTTACAAATATATTTGCGGATGAAGACGCAATTTTTACACAAAGAAAAGAAGATGTTTGATTCTTTGGTATGGAAATAATTTAAGAACTTTGCTGTTATGGATTTTTATTGCAGAGCCGAGGTATTCAATTTCAGATCTATTTATAACTCGAGTGCGATCGAGGTCCATGTCAGAGTTGATCCGTTAAAGTTTGTAGATTCAATATCTAAACACATCTCACCAATTTCCTAGAATCTAGAGCTAATGAGGTAATAATTTTTTAACTTTCCTGGCATGCGATGATATTAATTTATTGCAATTCATCTCAATTTTTCCTGAAGCTTCATTATATATAATGTGAAAAAGAAGTGCTAAAAGGGAATTACTTTACAGCGAAGAACCGGGGAATTTTCTCGCTCGAGAGCAGTAGGATAAGTTTCCTGCATGGTGGCAGAGTCTGAGACGATCAAAGTAGCGATCTTCATTTATCAATTTTAACTTTAACTTCAACCATTAACGATTTTTATTTTACCCTCAGCTCTTTCCTGATGTATATTTCCTAATAAATTCAGTAATACTTTTTTGTTGAAAATTTTCGGAAATACATTTTTAGAAATACTTTTCAGAAGTACTTATTAGAAATATTTTTCTAGTAGGACTTTTTAGTAATATTTTTTATTAAAACTACTAACATTCATATGAAAAAGTACACTGACACAAGCGTGCTTCTCATGGTACACTGTGTATGCGAAGTAGAATAGTCTAGATTGTGCATTTTTGGGTGGCATGATTTAAATATAGTTCATATTCTGTTTTGTGTAAAGACCTTAGAAGTCTCCCTGAAAAACATTTATATAGCTACGAAATTTCTTGAGAGTATCACATTACACGCTAATATTCACGAAACCTGTAATGGGCAATAGGAAACATTTGATTTCAGCTGAGAAGGCAATCGGCTCCAGAAAGACGTTTACAAAGCTCTAGTTTTTGATAAACTTTCCTGCTTTTATTGGCGAGGCAACGTACGTTTTTAGCCGGCACCTCGAGAGACGAACTTTGGGCAGCCAATATAACTTCCTTCGACGCGCCACGCCGTGGCTTGAATCTTCTTCCATGTTAGACTGGATTCCTGCTTTGTTTGAGTCCATTTATTGGTGGTACTGGTAAGCATCCTTGTAGTCGTTAGGCATCTTTTGTGGTCACGTTGGCCATCTTTGTGGTCACTGTGAGCATCTTTGTTGTTCTGGGCCTATACTTTCAAAATTCGCTAAGTGAACGTAAGTATTTACGCTCTGATTTTTTGTCTACGATTTGGTGGATTTTGCTTGAAAGGCCGTCAATGATTGGCTGATGAACTTACAATCTCTTAACTTTTTTTGAAAGTATAGGCCCCGGTGAGCATCTTTTTGTTCACGGTGAGCATCTTTTTGGTTACGGTGAGCATCTTTTTGGTCACGGTGGGATTTTATGATTACGGTGAACTTTGTTGCGTTCGTGGTTCGACTCCCAATTAATGTCTCTTGCTGTTTTTTTGCGCATGGTAGGCTACTTCACTGTGACTTGCGTTCGTTTTTTTATTTTGGGCTCTATTTGCTGCGGACTGATTGCGTTTTTTTGGGTGCAATATTGCTTTGTTTAGAGAGCTGCATAATGTCTTCATTTTTATTTTTATCATTCTAGATTTCGACTACTTTCTTTGTTCTTTAATTCTGTTTTATAGAATTTTTCTTACGATAAATCTATAAATTTTAATAGCGTTCCTATATTTGCCCACACGAATTGACTTCATTTCTCGTGCTGTTCGCCTATCCTTCAATAAACGGCAAGCGACTTTAATTGCTGTCCTACAGGACAAAATCTACCGCCAAAACTTGTTAATTTTTTCCATAATCTCCTTAAATAAAACCGCTGCAGTATCCATTCATTGACCTACGAGTATTTTTCCCAACTGTATTCACTTTATTTTAACGGGGCAGAATGACCTTCCTTTTAGAACAGAAATAACAAATTAATCGTAACCGAACGAGCTGTCCCGTCCGGCGCCTGAATGAACCAGAGCGATTTTTTTCCCCATACGGCAACTTTTCTCCCATTTATCATTGCAAGGCAAGAGCCACATGGTCCCCGCGTCAAAATATTACTATTGAAAAAAATATCCCATTTGGTTTAGCACATGACAAAGGTACCTGTGATGCTATAAAATAGTACATTTGATTAAAGTTTGACCAAAGTTTTTCCAATAATGTGCAAAAATGTTGTATATTTTAATTAAGAAATGTTTGAATTGAATGATCGTCTCTATAGTTGGAATAAAGCTGGATCAGTCCATGTAATTTTGATATAAATAATTTCGTATCTGATGTTGTAACCAGTGCCACGAGAATAGTGTGCCCACCAACTCTACGATCGTAAGATTTTAACTACCAGAATTGTATCGAAATTGGGCTAAAAAACTTGGCTTATGACAGAGGGACGTGCTTACAAGGTTATAATTAACTGCATTGCAGTGATCATGCTCCGGAAATTTCAATACGTAACAGATGAACGAGCTCAACAAGTTGAAACTAACTGCAATGTAACGTACTTGCACCGGAAATTTTAATACGTAAAAGTCCAATAGAAGAACGAGCACACGAAGTTCTAACTAACCGCATTGAGACATCATTGCACGGAAAATGTAATACGTAATAGATGAACGAGCTCACCGAGTTGAAACTAACCGCATTGAAACGTCCTTGCACGGAAAATGTAATACGTAATAGATGACCGAGCTCACCAAGTTCTAACTAACCGCATTGAAACGTACTTGCACCGGAAAGCTTAACACATAACAGAAGGACGAGCCCTCAAGATAACAACTACTCGAGTTGTAGCTCACAAATATCCTCTTACCGCGGCCCCGTCCGCGAGAACAATGACCAGGCTTCAGGCGCTCTAATGAGGCCTTCACATGCGCGAGGCGAGCGTTCAAGCCGGCAAACGGAGAAATCCTCTTGCATTGATACTAAGCAACTCTCACGAACAAGCAAGAGCTTCTTAGTGCTGAATAAATGAATTTATGAATGAACGTTGAACTAACAGGAGTAATGAATTCTGTTTGTTTTTATTTTAGGGTGGATTATGGATTAATTGCAATGAACAACTGGCATACGCGTTACTGTGATAAGTTCAAACGTTTGCACGTCACAACAAGTCTTAAGCATTTTAAATTACCTCCAAATACCACAAGATTTAACAAGATTTAGCAAGATTTAGCACCAATATTGTTCAGCGGGGAATGTATTTTAACAACGCGGAGTAATTTTTCATTTGTTTCCTCTTTGCAATAGGCTCTGCAGTTCGAGGTCGGCTGGGCAAACTCTCCCACAGCGACCATACAAGCGCGATCATTTTATGATGCAGCGGCGACAAATTAGACAGCAGCTCAGCGCCAGCAAGTCTCGGCACAAATTTTCCCTACTTTCTCTTCATTAATCTTTGTATGATACAAATTACTTCTAAAGTTGTCTTTTGCATTCACTAATTGCCAATTATTTCGCGTGGCAAGTATATTTACAAATATTTTTCAGCTCGAGCAAATTTTACTGCAGAATTCTTGTCCTGCATTAACTAATCATGTTTTAATCATGACATGGCGAAATATATTACGCAGGTCATACTATATTTATTTGATATTACGAAACAGTTCCGATCGTGATATTCCTGCAATGTGTTCATTAAAGTCATGTAGGTGTTGTATTTAAATTCTGGTTGTATAATCCGTAGATTGCATGAATAATGTTTCAGCTACATTTTTTTGTCGATGTTTACCGCAAATTCAACTAGACTAAAAATAATTGTACTGCAAAGTAATTTCATATAAAATTACTTTATTTAGTTCCTGATAAATGCAGTTGGTCTCCGAATCTCAACGCAAGTATGATTGTACAAACATTCTTTAAACTCGCCTCTTCTTTAAAAGTTCAGGTTAGAAATCGGTTGCAGAGATTTCATCGCTTTCCGAGCAAAAAACTTGACTCCTGAGTGCAGCGATTTACGGCATCCCCAGGGAGCGATGTCTCTCACTCGAACAAAAATACCGCAAATTTATGCAGATCCCCAATGAACTTACGGCTCACCTCTGCCGCCGCTCAGCTCAGAATTATGGTTAACCACCACAGATTGAGACTCTTTGCTCGAATTATCAAATGATAGCACTAAATTTGTTCATGATGGCTTACACCAAGTCCCCCATTAAACACATTAAGCTTTACATGTTTTGATGTTAATTTAACGAGGGAACGAATTGTGCTAAATTGTCGAAATGAATTTATTTACTAATTTGCTTCAGTCCAGTCGAAAATTTCTAAATGATTACTCCTAATATATTAATAAGGCCAATTAACAGAATCTTCACTAGTTAAGAATAAGTTGACTTAGGAACGAGCATAATATTAAGTATAACATTGCAGGGAATAAATTTACTTACGCGTGCAATGCGGAGGTTCGTCTTCTCCTTTCGGACAATCTGCCTCGCCGTTGCAAAATCTGTCGGCTATGACGCAAGTGCCGTCATTGCAGCCGTAATATCCGAGGCCACAAGCTGTGCTGTTGTTCGCAATATGGACAGTATTGTTGCTCCTGAAATTGTCATTGTCTCGGGCAGCCTGCGGCTTACGGTCATTTTTTCCAGCTGATCTGAAGTCGACTGTACGAGCTTTACTTTTAAAACTTCGCGTGGGCCGAGACTTCATCTCAAAGTCTGCTTGTGAAGAGCCTGTCGAGCCTCTTGAGCCGAGGCCGCCCGCTGCTTCCTTGACTCGTAAATCAGGAAGAGGGAATTCATGAACCTTATCTTCGGCGTACTTGTTCTCGTGTCTGTGTGGATAATGAGGGGTAACGGGAGACTGAGAACTTTCATTCGCAGAATTTTCGGGATAATTGGAAGAGTGCACATTCACTTTCATCCCTTCTTTGACATCATGGACTGTTGGTTGCTTTATTTGTGTATGAGCCACGGTCGAATCGAGCATTTTAGCCTGCTTACCGACACTGTTAATGTTGCGGAAATAATTTTTGTTATATATGGTATTTCGTTTGTGTTCAGGATTATCGTTAGCCAAAAAGGCTAAATTAGTTTGATCGTTTATGGGACTGCTTTTACCACCGTAGTTAATTAATTCGTTATAGAAATCTTCAATATAATCTGCATGCGATTTGTCAAGAAAAGATGAATAATTGTCTTCATGAGAGCCTTTCCAATGGGCAAAATGAGATCGATTCTCATTCACATAAGTCAAATCATACATGTCTACCATGCCTTGATTTTGTGGGGACACATTTTCTTTGGCAGTTTCGCCTGCCAAATCTTTCGAATTTACCTTGACTTTTTTCTTCGTTTTATCTTCCAATTTGTCTAGTTTTGTGGACAGGATTGAAGAGACGTTGAAGGTTCTACGTGCACGGGAGCCTGCAGTATCACCAGCCTCAGATCTGATTCCAAGTTCGTAGAGCACGTTTTGGTCCCGCAGATTTACAAGGCTTTGGTCGGCAGATGATTTAAGAGACGCCGAGTTGCCCGCAACGTCTTTCCTTTCGTCCAAAGTGCGCGTCTTTTGATCATCGTCAAATTTTTGGCTGACGACGGAAGGATGTTGACTGTCGTTCAGACGCAAGGTCGCTGAAAAGGCTTCTTGATCAGATGATGTACTTCTGAGGCTCCTTGCAAGTCTATGGGGATCATATTGGGCATCTGATTTGCTTTCCGTGGCCATATCATCTCTTGACGAGTAGAAGTTCTTGGGCTTTACTTCCGTTTGGCAATTTTGTCCCATGTCGGGAACTTTTTCTATTATTGAATCAGTAGGGACTTCATTTTTGTTCCCCACGCCGATAGTTGACAGTGACAAAGCTTTGCTATTTTTGCTTTGATTTCGCAACTCAGTGTTGAAGGAGTCCTCTTTTAAAACTTTATCCAGCTCAGGAGACTGAATTGACGCAATATCTGAAGACAATAAAAACCTTGCAAAACCTTTTTTATTCTGCGTCACACTTGAGTGCTCTGTTTTGTATCTTATTAAATTCTTACCAACAGAAGACATACCTCTTAAAACTTTGGAGAATCTTTTTCGGAAAATGGGATTACTTTGAGAGACAGATTTGCTATGCTCGCGATGGTCCCAAGTTAAGCGCCTAACTTTGTATGCACTTGTAAGATTTACCACCGGAATATCAAGTGGACTACCGGATGCTGGAGTCAAAAATACACGGCCATCTTCTCTTGCTAAACTTGTGACGTGTCTTACATTACCATTTGGACTTGAAACATTCGAGAGCACGGAGATTTTACGACGTTCTCTGAGAATAACTGCACCTTGAGAATCTCTTTTCCGAGAAGAGTAAGGAAAATCTAAGAGGTCAGGGACTCCTGCCTTCTTTTGTAATAGCTCCTTGTCTGGTCGAGCAATTTTTTTAAGTTTGTGTTTCGTGGGACGTGAGTTGCGCTGAAGTGCAGTTCCAGAAAATGATTTTATGTCCCGCATCGTTCTGACCGAAAAATTTCCCCCTCGAAATCGCCTTCTTCTGCGGTCCGTTGATTTCATCTCGTCTTGCCGATCGTCGACTTTGGTACTTTTTTCAATTGATGATATTTTTTCGACCCTCGTTGTAGGGTCTCGAGAAGCCTCTCCAGATTCGTGTAGATGGATCAGCAAAGGCTTCCGTTCAAACGGAGCTTTGTGATTTTGCCAGTAAAACGAAAATGATATCGAATGATCATGACTTTCACCGAAATTATTTTCCTCTGCATAACGGTCATTTCCCATGAGTCTTTCGATGTGTGAATCATCATGAATGCGGTTAGCGACGCCTAAATGAAGCATTAAAAGAAAAGACACCAAGAAATAACTCAGAAAACCTGACCATGAAAAATTTAAGCATTTAACCGATGTTGAGTTAAGTAAGGAGTTGTTGACACAAGGAACTGCGAATTTTAAAGTAAATAATTCTGATGTAATTAGTGTTCTCTGCCACCATTTTGTATGCGAAAAAGCACCATTATCCGCTTTAAAGTCGGCAACATTTTTGTTTTGAAGTTCACTCCTGTTTTTTGATATGTGTTGTTCATGAGGAAGGGAAGAATGTTCAGGAAAATAACCTTCACACTCAGCACACCAAAACATGTCCTTTTGCCTTACAAGTTCGTGCGTTTCTTTCACAAAACTCCAATATTCACAATTTTTGTCGTTCGCGAAATCACGCGCCACTTCAGAAAAAGCAAGCGCAAGTCTTTTTTCCTCACTAAATCCATTGCCAATCAGTTTTCGGTACCAGGCCTTCGCTTCTATTTGCCTTCCAAATCCGTTGTACTGTCGGCTTTGTTTGACATCCAACGAAGCGATGTCATTTTCCATTTAGATTTTTATTCTTGCAGTAAAACGCTCCTGTGAATTTTATTCCCGGCTTTTTTAACCTCACTTTGTGAGAATGACAGCAGTGTTTACCAGTGACACCGAGAGTAAATTGTCGTCAACGAATTAAACTGAGAGAAGTGAATTGAGCTCTTGGAGCGTAATGAAGAATTTAGCTAAACTCGATTAATACATAGAGTAAGTTTAAGCTTCATTAATAATTTGATATTGAAATTCACTGCAAATTTTAGAATTGAATGTTTCAGCCCAACCACTTTAAGCTGCAATAAATTAGCGCTTACGAAGGTTCAGTTAGGCCGCTTCATTCCAGGACCGTTTGATCTTCCACTGCCGTTCAGCTCGACTGGGCTCTTGACCTGCGAGAAAGAGAAATTTTTTGATTAAATAAGTAGGAACAAACTTGCTCCTTTGCCAAATCTGTGGCACAAATATCTCAGGGAAATAATCACGATGGAATGATCACATTAGATCAGAAAGACCAATATCTAGATACCAATAAAAAACTCTAATTAAATCTAATTTATTCTAAGGTCGTCGAAGAGAGAACAATTGGATCGTCTTGCAGAGGGTTTTGAGTTTATGGAGGTTGGAAGATGGTCGTCGATTAAGGAAAATAAAAAGAATTGATAAACTTTTTCAAGGATGGCATGACCAGTGTACTCGGTGCCATCCTAATTTGGCTCGAGGCTCCGGAATGCGACTTGCCTCTTACAGCCTTTGAATGATTTTCATGTAAGAGCGTCAAATTTCCTGATTATTTTATTTTATTTTTTGGTTGTATTTGTGAAGATGACATTTCGTATGTGTTCAGGATTATCGTTAACCAAAGAGGCTAAATTAGTTAACCTTAGGTAGATACCGTTAACCTTTGGTAGATAATATGTAGACAACTAAACTAATAATTATATTAAATTTAAAGATTTTTATTCAGTTATATTTGAAAGGGAAAGTAACTACAAAATGCGTTTGTTTGCTCAGAACTTGTCCAACGAAAACAAATATTATTGAAGGAGCTTTCAATTTCAGAAATCGAGCTTGGATGTAAGCTGGATAGGATGAGCATTACGAAAACTTGACTCTGTCTAGAAGACCAAACTCAATGAATTCATTTTTTATGTAATACATCAGACTCAGTTGACAGTTTTTTAAGCTTATTTATTTGCTAGGTTCGCTAATCAACATTCAAAACTGCGAATATATTTTGTTTCAATGTGTATGTGTTACTACATAAAATGCTGATCAGGATTTTAAAAGAGACTTAGTTGACAGTTTAAAAGTTTGTCTTATATATGAAAATTTTTGGAGCAGCAATTCCGTTCGTATGTGAAGGAAATTTATTAATGAGCAACTGACCCTATATGAACGTTATGGGTATAATACTCGCAAATGCTCCATATCTTTGTACTCCAGTGTTTAAACGTATGATTAATTATTTAGATTCTTTTATTCTAACGTCATTCATTTAGCCAGTACATATCAACTTACGCCAGTTACACAAAGCTCATAGCTACATCATTTTTATTAAAATCAGAGCAAAAACTCTCCACGTACATTTCCCCTTTGAGCACCGCGCTTCATATTCTGCAAACTCTCATAGTAATCATTCTGTATTATATTCAAAGAAATCACTCTATATTAAATTCACGACAAAACACGTAATCAACGAGTTGGTTGCGGTGCTAGTCATAAGAGGCGACGAGCGGCACAAAAAACCGCTCAGCGATCACAGCGCTCCATATAATTGGCCGAGCTTTCGACTCTCACTGCGAAAGCTCCGCTGAATGAGTACAATTTAGCCAATTAACGAGAATAGCGACCTGAAAATCTCGCCGCCTCTCAAACTTTCTCTTATAAATGCCAGCGCCAGGCGGCCATGTTTGCTAACCTGTTACAATGTTTGGTCAGAGAAATCGTAGAGATAAATGAAATGCAGAGAAATAATATCAAACAAGATTTGGCAGAAGAGGCTGGATTTTACTGCAAAATTTACTTCCTAAATTGATGTCTAAAATGCAAGGGCGCTCAAAAACTAACTTGGGCGTTAGTGCATTTAAATTTAGTCTGTGCTTGCAAAGAATTGAAGTCAATGAAGTTTTTATAGTATGCACTGAAATAACTGCATAAATAGTATATACCTGCTTTCACCTATTATTTTTCAAGGCGAGCTGGAAGGAAATGTATGAACACATATTGTAAACCAAAATTCACGTCTTAATTTGAGGAACTTGAGCAGGGTACTGTACTTGTCATCTTTTTTTGCCGGATCACCAAATGATGGAAGTGAGATCGGGGAGCATTGAAGCATTGGCTACTGAGTTTAGAATTCATATCGCTTCTACTGATATATTATTGTTTAGATCTCCAAACCATGTTAGGATTATATGTTTATATTTCAATTTGTATATTCCTTGGTATCTTAGTTGGAATCTCTTTTTCTTAGTTTATTTCTAGATAAATATTCAGGCCTCCAATGAACGGACCAAAAGGTTCTTTCTCTAACACGTAACTTTATGTAGGACTTTTGCACAAGTCAGTAGTTGATTGGACTCTACCTTATGCACAAGTTTCCCCCATTAACTAGTTTTTTATTATCCAGCAAGTACTACCAAAACAAGAAACAATGCGAA